TTTTTCAAAGGTGTCTTCGGTTTAGTACCTTCTGGGTCCTTCACTTTAAGATTAGGTTTTTTTGATATAGGGGCTGAGACCAGCTCTGGCTCAAACTCCTCATCATCAGGTTCCTGAGGTTTGGTGTCTGGTTTCTTGGATTCTGCCTTTGGTTTCTTTTTCGAAAGAGTCACATCCGTTTCAGATTTTGGGTCACCTTTTGTGGGTTTGGTCTTTACGGGCTCTTTCGTTGTGGATATGATTGATTTTTTAGAGTTAGGGGTTTTCGAGCTACTTTCTCGTGACCCTTCTTCCGATTTCGGCACCTTAGTAACTGGCGACGAAACCTTTTGTGGGTCTTCAAGTTCTCCTGAACGTTTAGTTTTTGTTTTTCTGGCTCTTTGAAACGAATATCGTGTTTTGGTTTCGGAAGTTTTCCCGATTCCAAAACTTCCTCGGGTTCTAATTCATCCTCATCGGTGTCTGGTATCTTTCCCTGAAGAAGCAAAACACTTTGAAAATCAATCAATGAGAAATGAATTTTTTTTGTTTTATTTGAGCTCTTATAAGAGTTTTTCAATTTATACTTAGAAATTATTAGAACTTCGTAGGAGATAGTTTAATTCAATTTCTTTGTTCGCAGGAATCATGAAGAAGATATTGGCTTTTTATTTAAAAATTTTGAATGATTTCGAAAATAGGCTATCTTCTAATGATGAACAAATAGGTAATAGAGAAAAAAATTTAAGATCGCTTATTTGCTGTTTGTTATTCAACGCTTTCAAATAAAATGAGGTCAGAACCATGTACTGGCGAAAAATTGTCGTCTTCACTTTCACAAAACTTTCGAATTCACTTGTATTCTATATCGAAATACATTATAGCGTGAATGAAATAGAACATGTTAATGAATGTATTTGTACTTTTAGCTATCATGAAATTCATTATTCGAGATTTATGAGGAATAGTAGTAAACATATACTTATCTTAGTGTTAGCATTATCATTTGAATAATTTGTAATTTCACCGCACTTATGAAGAAAAATATTTCAAGTCTCACATAAAAATATGAGTCATCTGCATTAAAGTACTATTAAAATTCAAAATTTGTATATATTTCAAAAAATACAATGATGTATAAAACTAATGGAAAAATTGTCGAAATTGGAATTAAACTTTTAATATTTCTTAACTGGATGGAAAATGAAGTTACTTGTAAAGTTACGAACCTCAACATTAGGCGTTACGGCATCATCATTACCAAGAGCAGTGTTTGGAGTCGATCGATTTCTTTCAGATAGCTTTGGAAAATCGGAAGGAAGATTACATGGCGATTTATCAGTGAGACAAACAAGTTCACATTCCATTTCCTCCTCACTGTCATCCTCAAACTCCACATCCGATACTTCTACCTTGAATATTTTATCTTAATATTCAAATAATTATCCAAAAATTTACTGTCTAAGATAATGAGCATATATTCAAATTCGGATACAACTTTACTCAAATCAAATGTGACTTTGATTTTATTCCAGTCGATATAAAGATAAACAGGACCGGGATGAATTGAAAATGAGAGCCCCGTTGAATTCGGAGTAAAATTGGAATAGGAGTTATAACCATTACAAGCACTGAATCTGAACTGTTTTCTTTATTTAGTTATATACCAGAATAATTTTATTTGTTCAGATAATATCAGAAACGTATCTAAATTTGCAAAAGTTGACTTTTTGAGAATATCTCAATTTTCCAAATTGCAAATTCGAAATTATAGAACTTTTTTAAGCCCAGATTATTAATTTAATAATTTAGAACTTGCCAACAAAATTCGAACTTAAAAGAATAAATAGGTTGAGTTAATGAAATATATTAAAAAAAAAAAACCTCTCCTTCATCGCTTCCAGCCATTGATATCTTAGTGACTTCAAGAATCTGCTCGGGCGCTCGACAAACGTAACACTTTACAACACTTTGTGAAACAGCAGCAGTAGCAATAGCAATAGCAATAGCAGTAGCAGTAGCAGTAGCAGTAGCAGTAGCAGTAACAACATCCACAACCACAACATCCATCTCTGCTGACATTTTCTTCCTCATTTCAATCTTCTATATATCCTCTCAAGATAAGAAAATTAGTTTTTGAAATAGTACATTGTTCATGCTATGGAATAAGTTCTATTTTAGAAACATATTGAAATTAATTAATTCCCATTGGTTGGAAGTGCGATGTCACATTTATATGCTAGCTATGGGTTACTATTCGGCCTATCTCCATGTTTGACCATTTCATATGACAGTATCTATTGTATTGAACATTCGCTTCTATCGCAGCAATTGACATTAGTTGACTTGATTGAACTTTGATCGAACTTGTTTGTTCACATCCTTTTCACAGAGGTTTAAAGGGACCGAAAGTACAAGAAGAAGATAGTATACACTGTTCTAAAAAAAAAATTGAGATTACTTTAAAGACAACAGAAAATTTTGTACTGAGAAGAAAGAAAGGTAGAAATCAAACCAGCTGTAGAAAATTTCGATGGAATGAGTATGAATGGATTGTTATACAAATCAATCAATTCATATCCAAAATTACATCACATTTAAAACCTTCGCAGTTATTTTAAACTGAAGACCAAGCATGATACGAATCGATCTTTATCAAGACAAAAAACAATTTTCCAATGTTTTCTTCCTCACTTATGTGACAAAGATACATATGAAGACAAAGATACAGTATACAGCTGATAAAATAAACTTTAAGGAACTCTTTGAAAAACGAACTTTTAAAAATTTCCCACCCATCTTTGTCAGTAAAGACATTATGTCAAGTAAGATTTAATGGTCTGAAATTTAGAACTGAACTCTCTACATGCTCTAAACAAATGTTTTATTAATGTGTTTGAATGGAAAGTTGCAAATGGATAATATAAGTGATTAGTAAGATTAGCAACTTTATATGTTGAAATGTTTTCAGAGAAAAGGACGATGAGACATCATAGTGTTTTCCATTCATTCTTGTTGTAAAAAGACTTGTAAAGGCATTCAAATTTTTTGGCTTCTTTGTCAGTTGAAATAATCGTCTCATTTAAGGAAATAATAACTGTAATTAGCACTGTTCCACCAATTGTAGTTATCACAGTTTCTTGCGAAAAATCCCACATTCAAGGCTCAGTCCAATAACAGATAACACAAATTTCAAATACATTTAGATAACGACTCATTTACAAAAATGTGATTTCTTGGCAGTATTAAAAAAGGAGTAAGCATAGTTGTGTATCCCTGTTATATGATTACCATTTCAATTTAATTTTTCATTCATCACGATTCTTAATATGTACAATTTATAGGTATTATCAGATGTTACTCAGAGAGAAAAAATCGGAATTGAGATTTCAGCATCAGAAAATTCGAACTCAAATACAAAATATCAAACATTTCGTATTTTGATTTAAAGTACATTGACTGAATTCTATTCTTTTTGCGAAATTATAGAGAGTTTCACTTTGTCCTATTACTTCTATTAATAAATGAGATAAATTAGCAGCACTTTAATTACTTATTTTGTACATTTACGTCTCTCTTCATTGCTTACTATTTTTCTTTCTAATAGCATATATTTATCAGTACTTAATGGAGCAATGTAATATGCCGTTGAAAATGCAGTCGTATTCAATTTAGACGAATTTTCATATTGTTATAATTAGACTATAACTGATCTTTTAGTAAACCCGCACATCAAAGATTAGTCCGGTAATGAAGTACAGTTACTTCTGGAATCATTTTCCCGCCGGAGGTCTGAACAAATAAAAACCCTTCCATGTGTCAGTGCATTAAGCAATTAATTATGATTCCAATTCATCATTCCATAATTTCTTTTTACTTTGCTAATTTCAGTCTCTTCTCATTCAAACAAAGGTCATGATAGGCCCAATTTCAAAAAGCTTGTTTAACTAGTTTTTTATAACTGTATTTTTGAAAGTGAAAATTATTGCATCAGTTTCTCTTCTAAGAACAATATTTGTCGTCGGAAGTAATCGATTCACTTTTTCATCAAACGCCAAAGATGACAGAATACGAAATCCCCAATCAAAATAATTCATTCACATGTTCAACTAATTGAACACATTTTAGAGTTAACTCTAGTTTTCATTTTTCCTACAGTCTTTTCATCTCTTATTTTTCCAAACCATTGTAGTAAACTCTTTCTTTGTTGTTCCCGCCGTAATCGAATTGTCCTAATCATTTCCTCCATAAATTTTAAAGTTCCATCATAGTTCGGTATTGTTATAGACAAAGACTTGCAATGCGTGCCAAACAAATCTGCGACATTCTGACTCTGGAAATCCAAAAAGTTGTGCTTTCAAAAGCTCCTTTCCGATTTTCCATATAACGATCCGTCTTAAATCTTTTATATGGAATAGGTTCCCTTGATATAGTATATATATATATATATATATATATATATATATATATATATATATATATATATATATATATATATATATATATATATATATAT